CTACAATGATGGGGACATCGAGCTATTCCTGGACAGTTTCTGGGAGCATGCGAGGCGTATGGGCTGGACCGTCGCTCAGGCGATTGAGAGATTGAAGGGAGCAGGTAGATTCGAAGAGCCTATTGCCAGGATTCGTAGGGAGGCGACGACGAGGCAGGAGGTGGAGATGAGGATGGAGGAGTTGCGACCCTCGCCTGTGGGACCTGATGGCAGGCTGATCCGCCTGGAAATTGGAAATGCGTCAGACTTCATCCCCGCATTTGAGTGGTTCATTCAAGAGCAGGGCATAAGCGCATGCATACAACGATCATACTGCAGGGAGATAGGCAAACATAGGTAGTAGTGGGGTTTATACAGATAAAGATGATTTACCTGAAGGTTCCCTGCCTCCAGAACTCCTCTTGAGTTCCGGCAGAGCTCCTGCAATCCGTGGGTGGACTCCCCACAGAGTCTTGACGCGGACTTACGGGTTGCAATCCCGCCTGCCGCCTTCCTCTCGTAACCAAGGACTAGACTTAGATTAAGAAGGTTAGAAGTAGAAGTATAGAGTCTCTCGGATCCAAGAGGGGTGCTCTCAAGCTCACTGGAGAGGGCCTTGTAATCTTTTAGCTCCTGAGGGCCCCGCAATGGCAGCCAATATAACAGCTCAGTCAACTTTCTGACGACCTTTCAATCTGCGGCAATAACCCCTTCGAAATGCCTAATTACCCCCTAACTGCCGCAACAGCCTGATCAAAACGCCGAAGTCAAGCTACCCAAGTTACCTTCTAAGGACTCTCTGGCTCGCAACGGTAGTCTTCCTTACGCAACCCCTTTCTTTGTGGTGCGACCACTCTCCCCTCACTACCCCCCCTGGTTCCTAAACACGATGCCCCAGCCATATGACCTTCAACCAGGTGCGGTCAGGACAGCATAGCGGCCTGTAACAGGACTCAACAGCCACTGTAGCACGCAACACAGCTCAAAATGAGCAGCAATCGTGTGCACGGCCGCAAAAGAACGGTTGGGAGCATCCTATAGCTGATGATTTGCAGCTTACATCGACCCGCGACATTCGGTTTGCAATACTCAGTGACAACACCTTCCTCAGCTGGCCTAGCAGGCAGAAGTCCGGTGCCCTCACAGCGGCAGTTCAATAAGTAGCTAGCGGGCACGTCGAACCCCCTTGCCCCGCAGCAGGTAGCGGCCAACGATCGACTACAGCAATCACCATACCCGAGTACAGAGCGTGATGGGTACAGCCACAATACCACAACTCAAGCTTCGGCCACTCGCTACTTCAGTTCGGCTTTTCACACAGCTCTGCACCGCAGCTCAGTCTTCAGCCCATCCCACATTGTTCGTGTGGCAGGTAAGTTTGGCCCCAATGAATCCCCCGGCGCAAGCTTGCGGGAAGATGCACTGCCAGTCCCTCTTTTTCATCATGCCAGCACGCATGGCCCTGCCCCTGCAACACGACACTTAGTTTTCCTGCCTCGCCGACCACGAGGTAAGTCTCCTGCTCCCTCCTCGGTTCACCCGCTCGTTATCACTCATCTGACCAGCCCCCTCGGCCAGGTTCACACAGCCCAAAAAGTGTTTTGAGCAGCTAACTTCCATCGCCCGCACTTGCGTTCGAATAGTCTGCCTTCGAGATACCTTGCCCCTCCTCTCTCTCTCTATGCATGGCGCGGTCGGCCACATACTGCCGCCAAGATAGGATGAGCAGAATCGAATGAATCTGCCCCTGATATGCGGGTGGGTTCATTCCCTATCAAAACAACAGCTCTCCCGGACGTAATTTATGCTTATTATGACATAAGATCTACCACCCCCCTCCGCAAATCTAAACCCACCAACGGTTTCGCCCTGGCAAAAAAACTAGAATGGCATCTTCCCTCATCCGACTTCGTTAAGAATCGGATCAAATACACGTTTCTCCAACCTTCTTCGTCTTCACTCTGCCATCTCTTCACGCAGCAAGATTTTCTACCAACTCCCAAATCACTAACCCATTACAAAAACTAACGATGGAATCCATCTCGCCTTGTCCCAAAACCGCTAGATCGACTCTCCTTTCGCTCGATTTCGCTAGGAAACGAGCGAGATAGTTGATTTTTTACTTTTGGCCATATCCACCTCCGAGCACCTCCGCGCACTATATTTTCTTACTAACTTTTATTCTACTAACTCTTTCACCAATCTAACTATATCTTTGGATTCGCCTACCTCAAAAATACTAATCTACTATCTTCTTTCACTCGATTCCATTAAGAATCGAGTGGAATCTCGATTTTTCACTCCTTACCTTCTCTCCTCCATAGCCATCTCGGCGCACTGGTTTTTCTACTAACCCACAACTCTACTTATCCATTCTCAAAACTAACATCATCATCGAAGTCGCYTTGCCTAAAAMCCCCTATCTAGCATCTTTCCCCGTCGAAATCGCCCTCTATATGACAGGTACTAACCTTTTTCCTTTGTCGAATGTATCCGGTGCGGATTCGCGCCCGGATTCCTTCCTCCCATTCGCTYCCCGGCCTYGTTGTCCTCGGCTGCTCCGCTCTCACCCCCTGCGTTGTCTCCGCTCTCCCTCTCGCTGCTACCTGCTACCCGCTCCACTTCTTCCACTATCTCCCATGCTATCGCGCATGCATCCGGCCCCTCTTTCCGTCCGGATTCATTACCACTTTCGCACCCACCGTCTGCCGTGGCAACTCCGCCTTTTGCATGCACCCGGCGTCTCAGCGCTGCGCGGTCTGGCAGCGTCCGGCTCCCCAAAAGTCTTCAGCTATCGGACCCGCCTACTATATACGCGCGTCCCTTGTGCCCCGGGCCACGCCATTTCACCTGAGCAGAGGATAGAGGAGCCTCTTGAGAGAGAGATGAGGATTGAGGAGGAGGGTGTCATCGAGGGCAGACTACAGAGGATAGACACACCTGAGTATAAACCAGAGGAGATTGAGGAGCAGCCCACGACAGTGCCAGGGGCGGCACTCGAGAGGAGGCCTCAGAGGTTGGACACGCCCGAGTATGTTCCAGCGACAGAGGATTTGGGAGGCAGACTAGGATTTTGGGCTACTGGATCTGGGTCTGGTGGACCAGTTCCGGGGACAGAGCGGCAGAAAGTCGTTGGTACAGCAGCTCCTCAAGCATAGCAGCAGGGGGTTATCAGTACCTTGGCAGGATCTCCTTCATCACCACCTTCTCAGCCCAGGAAGAAGAAGTTCAAGAGGAAGGTTGATCAACTATGTTTCTACTGCAAGAGGAGCGCGCATCATGCTTTGGACTGTCTCGAGTTTCTTGAGGATAAAGCAGCAGGAAAGATCTCAGAGGAAGGGGTAAAATGTATAATAGACAAGGTAGGATAGTAGAGAATTCCGCAGATGGACTTAGGGCTCAGTTATATAGGCAAAACCAGGAGGAGTTGAGGAGGTAGGGCTCGGTTTTGTCTATATAAGTGAGCGAGCATTTTGTGAGGTATCAACTTAGGTTCTGTGTGATACTCTCTTCTCTTGTTTATTTTTGAGGGAGGATTTTTGGTCTACGGCTAAGCATTGTTTCCATGGTGAATGATTTAGTCTGAAAACCACGCACATAATTTAAACTAAGTATAAAGGAAAATATTTTATGTATATTTGCATGTAAACTGGCAGCTGGGCATTGTTTCTACTGTGAATGGTCCAGCGTTAAGCCATATCATTAAGAAGAGAAAAAAGAAAATACAAAGTATAAATGACAATAGTTTGGGCAAGCTGAACATTGTTTCTACTGTGAATGGTTCAGTCCCCTGTCAATATTTGCCTCATTTTTTAAAACAAAGTCAGAGAAATACTAAACCTTGGATATTAAACGGCTCAGGGCGGCTAAGCATTGTTTCCATGGCGAATGGCCTAGTCATACGCCCAAAAGAAGAGAGAAGTAGTTGTGCAACCTGTTCGTGTATATTTTAAAGGCAAGTTGGACATTGTTTCCATGGCGAATGGTCCAGCTATATGTCTTATGTAAGAGRGGAATAAGRGTTCAAGGACTTAAAAGATTCATAAACTATCTATATGGA